TCTCCTTTCTCATATGTAACCGCTCACTGTCCCTTTAGTTTCTGATGTTGTTTGTTGGGTTCCGGTGGCAATGAAAGTCTTCCTCAGGATCGTTTACGGGTCTTGGATTATGAGACAAAGGGTAATGATAATGCGACTGCACACATTACAATTGCTTACTGGTTTAATATATTATTTGCAGAACACGTCTATCCGTCGGAATGACCAAACTAGAAGTCCCCTTTTGAAGCTCGGACTATATCCTTGAGTTTGGGGACATTAATTCTCCCACCCTCGCAGATATGTCTTCATCGCTTCTCATTCGATCATTCAAACGGAAGGCGGGTGTTACAACTTTGAATCCTCCAATACCATCTTACAATTATATCTCCGAAGCCGCTGGTCCAGCGATATTCCCAACGATTCCTGAGACCTCGCTGGACTGCAGCTGCGAAGTGTAATATTTCATACGATGAGCGGCATCCTTTGCTGGTAATATATGTATTTATATTGGCTTCACGTAACAACTGACACTGTGGCATCGCTATTCCGGGCCGCAGGGATATGAGTGTCAGTTGTTTGTACTCCGCTTACACCAAGTCTTACTCTTAATATTCCAATTTAATCACTAGCTTAAATTGGACGACTTCACATAGTAGGCAATTTTTCACAACTTCGACAGAATACGTTACACACAAAAACCCTAAAATAGATTCTGATATTTCGTGTTGCCTTTTCAATGCTGGTTTTTTGCTTATTTTACGATTAAACCGTGAAGATGGAGATAGAACCTTCCTCCGAAACGTCAGCGGATTTCTACTGAAATACACGGCGTCACATTCTACAATATATTATATATATTTTTAAATTATTTTTTGGTTCCGTACCACATTTTATTAACAGTTTAAAGTGTGATATATTTTAATATGTTACCCCGTTTAGTCTGGTTGAAATTACTACCTCCATCTCCAGGGTACAGTTATAAACCGAAAAACTATGTAAGCAAAACACAAGCAACAAAAAATATTGTGATTTTCGACTAAATTTTGGACTCCAAAAGATTTAGTACGATCTTTCGAAACGTCATTAAACGTCTACCAACCTACACGTCATCACATCCCAAGAGATATAATCTCAAATCTCACAGGATTCTTTTTTTTTTCTTCGTAATATTTTGGTTGGTTGCCCTGTAGCTGTGGCGCTAACTTTGCTACAAAGTTCTGCCGCTGTAACATTTTATGAATAGTCTAAATTATCTAAGTTAGTTTCGAGTCTAAAGGAAAAATAAAGGAGGTTTTAGTTGGGAAGAGTTTTGACAGGAATTCCATGTTCTCTCAAGGCTGTAACGTTTCCCATGTTCTGAAGGCAACTCTGTATTGACTTGTCTGATATGTCTACAGCAGACATCCCCCGAGCTAGTTGCAAACGCCGAGGTACAACTCATTCTGCCTCATTCCACTTGTCTTATCATTATTATTATTAATCATACTAACCTTTAAATTGGCCTCTGTGCTGTTAAGTTCGCACACAAATAAACATGAATTATT